TTTGTGTCCGTTTTGTAAATGCCTCTAAAGACCCACGCGACACAGAATATATTCCTAGTGCAGAAGTTGTCATTTAAAAAAAAATATCGAGAATTCTAACGAGTTTATAATTTAGTCTATCAGATAAAGGAGCTATAATAACCCATTGAAAGCAATAAAATAATATTTTTGACGTCTAACATACCTATAAATTATCTAGTCATAGTTTATGATATCGTAAATTAATATGAATATTATTTTATTGCAATGCAAATGCTCGTAGCGCAGTTTATCTTAAAACACCGTTGTCTATTAAAATGTCAACACTCACCAAGCTATGGATGTCATTTGTTATTTCATTTACAAGTGATTAACTATTAAGACTTGTTGTCATTATCTGATATCTATACATATAAAATTACTCGCCTTGACTGACAGTCATCAATGCAGAGCCTAAACCGCTGGGGATACAGAATTGACATTGTGATGCTTTTTATATTTATTAAGGAGGATTTTATATTTATTTATGGAGCTTAAGTTTATTATGTGAATTCTTTAGTCTGTTAACATACTCATATAAACTTTGTAATAGAACGTTGTGTATAGTTATAACTGGACTTCAGATTTAAGTATTGTATATTGTCAACATAATTGTGTATGTGCTAATCTGTTATCTGTTACTGTACCTATTAGATAAAATAAAATAAAATAAAATAAAATAAAATAAAATAAAATAAAATAAAATAAAATAAAATAAAATAAAATAAAATAAAATAAAATAAAATAAAATAAAATAAAATAAAATAAAATAAAATAAAATAAAATAAAATAAAATAAAATAAAATAAAATAAAATAAAATAAAATAAAATAAAATAAAATAAAATAAAATAAAATAAAATAAAATAAAATAAAATAAAATAAAATAAAATAAAATAAAATAAAATAAAATATTGTAAGCACACTAAAAAAGGATTGAAGGGGGTTAAATAAGGGGGATGAACGGTTGTATAGAAGTTCGTCATTTTTAAAGTTAGAAACACGAAATAAGAAATAATTATGCGAGCGAAGCTGCGGGCAATAGGTAGTTTCTCATAAAATATAATCACCATTTATAATTTTAAAAAATAAAGTCATTTAATTACATGGTATTATGTATAATGGCCTAGTAATCAAAAATAAAGTGGTTAACTGTCATGGCACTTAAACAAACACAACAAGGTCCTGAATTGCTTTTCTTGGTAGTTTGTGGTGCTTCAACAGAGCATGAGTACCTAGATAACTTAGAGAAAAGTGCATGGCTTTCTCGCTTTGCGTTTTCATTATTGACAACTCAACTCAACTTATAAACGCAGTATGCATCGAAGGCATTTCTTCGGCGTTCTTTAGTATTAGGCATTTAGAAACATTTTGTTATTTAAAAAATATGCCGTGGGAATCTCATGTTACGGCACATTGGGTAGGCTGGACAGGACTGATACCAAGGCCTATTTTTTTGAAGTGAAAACTTCTTGAGGTGTGTTGGACATTTTTGAACAACAAACAAAAGAATGTATTTTATGTTTTAACAAAAAACTCATTTTTTGAGATGGGAATAAACAGTTACCGTTACGGTTACCGACACCTCTGCATATATTGTTGAAGTGAAAACTTCTGTAGACGCGTTGGACATTTTTTGAGATGGGAAAAAACAATTGAAATCGTTACCGTTATCGACGCTATTGGTATACAAGTTTTCACTTCTGTCGGCACTCCCGGAGTGCCACTGTATTCTTTTTGATACCACAGCCTCACAGAAAACCGTTGTCCAGTAAATCTTTCGTTGCTTTTCACCGAACGTGTGAGGTTACCGGAGCCCACCTCCCTTACAGAGAGTCACAAGGGCTGCAACGAACTGGTAGCTCTCGACTTGCAGGTATCCATGGGAGGCTGTAGTTACTTACCACCAGGTGATCTGGTCTGTTCCTTTGCTCCCTGTTTTTTTTTCAATAAACTCACACATAATTAAATAAGGCCGTTAACGCGTTTGTGACTAAGGCCGGCAACGCATTTGTGACTTAAAACCGGCAACGCGTTTGTGACTCAACGTTTGTGTGAGTTGCAGGCGTTGATGGGCGGCGATGGTCTCTTTCCATCAGGTGACCCGTGTGCTCGTCTGCCCCCTCTAACATAAGAAAAACAGCTGCTTTTCGATAACAGTTATCATGTGGAAAAGTAAGAAAGATTTCAAATATGCAACACAAATGTCAAATTTATCATCGCCATCAAATTTCAATTTTAGATGCAACGCTACAACGTTTACCATAAGAAAAAAATAAACTTGATTCCAAAAATCTATTAATACTGATGCATTATTAAAACAGTATAAACTGAACTCAAGAATTTGTTCTCAAAAACAATATATTCGCATAAATTTAAGTTTAGACTTTCACTAAAATAGCGGCATGAACGCCATTTTTATTTATTAGTACATCTCAGACATTAATTAGATTAATTACCTGGCTTCTGTGCAGTGAAACTATATATAAGTGTGGAAAAGATTGTTTTTTAAGATTGCAGACACTCATTTCTACGTGATTTCGGGCATGATTATATAACAACCTTCTCATATTTATTCCATCGTTCTTTATTATAGGAATACCTTTCATCTTTTCGTGGTACCAGGGATTTCCTTTCTAGGGTACATCTCGTTCCCCGGTTACTTGTACCAAAGACCGCGTTCGGTTGTATCCGAGGGGATTGCCGAATAGAAAAAAAGGACTCCTTTCGTCTATAAAATGATACAGAGGAAAAGCGTGGCCGTAAATATTTTCCCACTTGTTTTAAGTGGTATTAGATTGGCCTGTTGCGTATGAAGACAAAACATGACACGTTACTCATATTACTACACTACTCTATACTACTAAACTACAAATCTGAACAATTATTCAGATTTGCAGTTTTTTATTTATTTCCATTCCAGGCAGGTTGGGTTACCTTCTGCTAATAATCACGCAAACTGCAACTGCAATCACAATCATGAAATCAGTACAACGCAGAAAAAAAAGACCTATACTATACGACTTCATACAACATAGCCTTAAAAATATATAATATTGGAAAATGTACGTTATTTATCACAAAACACTTTTTGAATATGTAGTCAGTATAGCAACGTATGCAATTATGTCATAGTGATTAATCAAGTTGTTATACGAGTAATCTATGTTCGCCCAATAAGCGTTAAAATGTTAACAATTAATCATCTACGGCTTAAGAAGTAAGCATAGAGTCACACTGTAAAAGCGAGCATACAGCGCTCGGCTATTATAAAATTTCTATATCTCTCATCGTTATAATTTAGTTTTTGTCATAAAAGCTTTTTAACTCACATGGGATAGAAACCCTTATGCATAAGTAGAGACTTTGCTTCATTGGGCGTGCTCAATCGCTTATATAACAATCTAGTTCTCTGAAGGACTGTTTGACATGATAACTACGGTTACGACAGCATTCTACCACACCATGATCGTCAGGAGTCAGTCTTTTTGGTAGAAATACATAAGTGGTCCAATTTAAGCGCCGGTACAATATTGGTTACTCTCCCCTATATATCATTTCAATCTCTTAAGATAAATTATTACACAAAATGCTCACTAACTTTTTTGATAATAATTTACGATATTTTTATTACCATCGATACATTCTTTCGTAGTGCTCAGAACGCGTCAAAATAATTTAGAACCACTTTATCATACACACCAATAAAGTGTGGGTATGACTTTATTTTAGCGTTTCGTAAGGGCCCATGTCCACTGGTTTTGAGTGGTTTATAGCATTTATAAATAGGTATTGATTATCATATTTGCAAGCAATTAATGAGTCACACATTCAGAACATCTGTCCTACGATCTCTTGCGTAAGTTGAGTTATGGTCAATTTGTAATTTGGCCCTAATCTGTGGTCAAGATTTGGGTTTGGTCTGTAACGTCGGAGAAAGTTATCATTTCATATTTTTTAACTTAACCTGTGTTTAAGTTAAAAATTTGTGACTACACCATAATACATTTTTAAATACAATTGCATTTTTTTAATAACTTAATATGCGACCCACAATTTACTATTCTAATCTTTACATATATAACTCTCCTATGCGCGTGTATGTGACTGAACTCCTCCTAAATGGCTGGACCGGTTTTGATGTTCTTTTTTTGTGTTTAAGTGGATTCGAGAATTGTTAAAATAACGTCTGTCGGGATAGCTATTGTATGTATATTAATATGCTCAAACTAATTTTAAGGACTTTTATACAGACGACCGCCAAGAAATACTCGCCATGTAAAGTCTGTACAAAAACCGAAAGGCGTTCGAGAGAGAACTGAGTCTGAAGCAACAATAAATAAATAATTATGTACGTATTACTAACAAGCAACGTGTACACAAAGACTCTTCTAATAAGATCTATGCTATATGTATTGCGAAATGGTCGGATCTTTAACGAAAAAATTGATGTGTTTCTAGAACAGAAATTTGTTGTGCAGAACAGTTTTGATTTGATTCTGAATTATTATATAATCGGTTGGTCGGATTCGGGCCAATGTCGATAAAACCTCTGCAAATTATTCTGTATTACAAAATTTAAGGCCCAAATACTTATAACAGCATAACAAATGGTATTCTTTTAAATATATACATAGTTTTGAAATTGCCCAATTCACCTTCCGTATTAATATTACTTCGGAATCATGATACGGAACATGACGAAACTCAATCACGGAGGAATTTAATTTATTTTAATAAGACTGTATGTATATCATTGTTTTTTACATTATACGTTCAATATTTATAAAACAATGTTATTATTTCACGGCCGAAAGTGAAATGCTAATTGAAAATTGTTTGGTTCCATTACTTATATCAGTCTTATTTAGTCTGATGGTCGTTTCTAAATTAGTTAAGTTTTCAATTAATGCAGAAACACCTAAATTCAAAATATAATAACTATATTGATTGATTGGACAAGTCCTTCGCTGTTTTTCCCACCATGCGCAATAATGTGCATCCCACGTTAGTCATATTCCCAGTTCATTACGACTGATAATTTGTTATAACTATGGCTTACATCGTGTATTTTAAAATAAGTTTCCGCTTTTCAAATTTGACTTTTTGAAAATGCCAATCGGAAGTTAGGTACGTAAAATATTCTTAGAATTGCATAGGGTTTATCCTTGCCCCACTGTTAAACCCTTAAGTTAGCTTAACCGTATGAGAACCATGCTTCGGCACAAAAAGCGGCTCGATGGGAGTGATCCTCGCACATAATACGGCCTCACTAAAAGCCGGTGTTAAGCAAATCTTTCGATTCTTTTCAAGTCAAGTTACCGGGGCCTAAAACTGCAGCTTACTCTATGGAGGAGCGAGAGGGGTAGAGGTGTATTCAAAAGAGCAGGAACGCACTTGAGACTCTTAAATTTTAGGTGTCTATGAGCGCTCGTAGTCATTTACCATTAGCTGACCTGCTCATTTCTCTCATTTATCACTCCTATACTTTAAAAAAGCTAATAATTTGGTATTTAGTTAGTAAAAGTAACATAATTATAGGCAAGATACAAAATCACATTGAACTATGATTTATCATTCGATTTTTTCCTAAGTAGGTTAGGGTTGCTACTAACTCACGCGGTGATGTCACTCAGCTGTTTTCAGACGATGCATAAAGACCCTACTTGCCTATTTAACAGTAAATCTGTTTTATTTAAATTCTGTTAATTTAAAATAATTGTTTTATTATATATAGCTACCATACCTACATAATAATAATATGTATTACAGTTCACTGTGATTTGCCTATTTCATATGCCTATTAGTTAGTATATTTATACTTAACAATAACGTTTTATATTTCTGGCAGCCAATAATAATATAAGTTTGCCTACCCTCATAACATTTTTCCTGATACATCAATCTTGTACAACTGCAAGTCTAATTGTAAAATTTAAAAGAGCCCTTCCGGCTATCTGTCCCTAAAACAGAATAAATTAGAAATAAACCGATAACGATTTGAATAAAAATATGATACTTGGGTGTTAAGTAAGTTATTTAAATGTGTGTATTTCATAATCAAAGTGATCTCAATTATTTGGTTAAAGATAGTAGTAGGCACATTTAGAAAAATGTGCCTACCTAACTGGTTTTGTGATCTTCATAATACTATTTTTTGTTTTATACTATTTGTAAGTAGGTATATATTTGAAGTATAAATCTCATGTATTTTTTTTGTCTCAAAGTCATAACTTTTCCAATTCTAAGTAGTTTATGTTTCATTAATTATGTAATTTCGGACATTTCAAAACTTAGCTTAATAAACTCTGTTTAAAGTATGCAAATCAGTTGAGTTCTTTCCGGAAAATATATAATTAAAAATGACTATAAAACCGCGTTAATGAAGTTTAATTTAAAAATAAAATTTTGTTTGTCCATATTTTATGAGCTACTGTGCATCCGATCGTCAAGGAATTTTGCTTACCCATTTTCAGATATACAGAAAAGGAAATAGGGTATATATTTCAGGAAAAACCTATAGTTTTCAAAATACTAACAAGATGTAAGTTAGTAAGATCGCGTGCAACAGTTAGGACCAAATATGTTTTTTAAAATATATTTCATTCCTAATAAACCCTTTCTAAACGTACGAGTAAAAAGAAATAAAGCCCAGTAAAAGGTAAGACGATAACAGACAAGCCGTAGATTTGAGTTCTTTGACCTCTAAATAGTTAATTTCTGTTACTTTCCTCCAAAATATATACTGTACAGCCTAAGTTTTAAAATACAGTTTTGTAACAGTACAGTGTAAGAGGCGTTCTGCTATATGGAATATTACGAATCTTTGTTCGGTCGTAAACTCATAATCAAGCAGTAGTTAAGTTGCAAATCCAGAATACTCTTAATATTTAGGACCGTGTTAGCGCATTTCTAGGATAATTCCAGGAGTTCACGAATTTGAGTAGCTCAAAAACATCACGGAATCTTGGGGAACAGTTTGATTGTTACAAAACAATATTTCAATTTTTTACCTACGTCTCTAAGTCAATTTTAAAGCTAGTAGTCAGGATTTTAATAAAAGTAGAGAAGAAATAATAACATTTTAAATCTAGATACTGATTTGCTTAATATTTTAAATCAAAGCTAATGATTCATAAATCTATCATGAAGAATTAGAGATCATCTAATTTTCATCCTTCCCAAAATCTACTCAAACTCATTAATAGAGCCAGAACATGGTCATAGATCATTCAGCCCTCTCCTGCGCCTGATAATAGTGCGGTGCTTCTTCTTCTTCTCAGCCATTCTCAATCATTTTGATGCAGGCCTTCTTCAGATTACGCCATTTTACGAGTTCTCACATTACTGTCAGTTAACATCATTCTTAATATATATTCAATTAACCTGATTTTAAGTTTTAAAGTACCGACACAATCACACATTTCGTTCCTATACTGGTAAGAGTGTAGTGTCATACATATATTTTGTATTCTATAGTTATTCACGACCGGCCTTGAATCCAGGTACTATTTCAGATGACGTGTAGACCACATAAAATACTGATCTTTTGGTACAATTCGACGTGAATCCGGTAATAAATCAGAAGTTGACTGTATCAGTGTCCGGAGTCGTCAGATCATAAAATGTAGATTAATTTCTTGCTTCACACAAAATGTAACCATTACTCAATCAGCTACATACTAAATTTGAATAAAATTATCATTACAGTCGGGTAACAAGAGCTGTTGTTCGTTTACGTTCAGCAGAAAACATTCAAATGCAATACCTTATCCAAACAAGGAAGCGTTACGAATCGGGTTAGCATTGCATAATACGTTATTACATATTATTTAATAAATATATAACATAAAGACCGTAGCAGCATATTATTACCATTTTTAAATAATTCTATCATTTTATATAGTATCTAGAACAAACAAAAAAATTAAATAAAAAATAACATTAATTGTATTTTTAGTATCTTACAAGGAGTACTATACTAAAAATACACTACTAGACATTAATGTTGTAATATTTTACGTAAGAAGATGCCACAAATATAAAAGCATGTCACTAGTATTCGTGTTAGCTCCTATCTATACAAATAAATCAAATTAAAGTGTCTGTTTGTAATGTCAAAAAAATACCTATGTCTAAAAACCAGTTTCAATATTTTTTGTCCGTCCGTTTGTTCTGAGTAAGCTTCAAAACGACTGGACCAATTTAGAAAATATCTATCATTCCTCTCAGAAAAACTCTTAAAATTTTACTAGGTCCGGGAATATGGTATGTTGTTGTGGTATGTTATGGAGCCTAAACTTAAAATGTAAATGACGAAGATGTTTGACGGTGTCGCATACGGCATGACAGGGACAACAGAGACAAAGAGAGATAGATAACAATGCATGAAATGAAATGAAAATATAAAGTGTTTATTCACAGCAAATTAATTTTTAGTGACTGGTTTTACTTCTGCCAAAGTACAGAGTAATTTGGTTGGCAGATGATAACAATATTTAGTTGAGACACCTTATCTTTTTTAAGATCGCATTCGCAGTGGTCCAAACAATATAAAAATGAAAAAAGCTTATATTATTCAACATTTTGTTTCACATAACACTTAGTTTACTTTTTTACTTAGTTTACTTTTCTTGCAGGATGCATGAGTAGTAACAACAACCAAACTGTTGCTCTAGACCGTCTATCCTGAATACTTCTGAAGCAGATTTTGTGCGAATCCACTGGTAAGTAATTGCCTTTTATTATTATTAATTACAAAATAACAAGCAAAAAATATCGAAGCATACACTAGCGCCACAAAATATCGCTTTTAACGACGCCATCTGTGTTCAAAAGTATACATTTTGATAGTTCAGCTATTCGCTAGCAGATGGCAGGCAGATAGTCTTCATTTTACTTAAGTTTTTAGATGACGCCACAGTGTTTTAAATAAAATTGATATTTACAGAAATTGCGATTATAATTAAATATACCAAGTATAACGCCTGGTCATACTTGGTATTATTTTATACAGAGAAGTAGTTATATAACAGGTTACAATAGTCTACTCTTAATAAGCACTTAATAAGCACTTCAGCTATTAGCCTTAACGTAATAAGTGAAAAAAATTGTTACGTAGACCAAAACAATGAAAAAATAGCTATATAACAGTTTTAATTATTAAATTCGGTTTCGATTAACATTAGATTTTCACCAAGTTTCTAAATTTGATTTATTAACCAGTTTCTACCAGGGACATTTTTTATGACCACTAAAGTCGATTGTCGAAAATTGTGCCTCGTAGTATATGTGTTCTGTGGATTGTACTTATTTGTACTATGAGTACTGTCATTGATATTTTGTATCAAACTAAAATAAGCAATCTCCAACACCAAGCAACAAGCAAAAATATTGATGCCATGTAAAAAATTTATTACGGGTTAGCCGATTCTAGCAAATTCGATATTCGATGGATGTCTGTGTAGTGGCACAAATACTTAATTACGTAATTTTAAAGGTACATAAACAATATTTATAGAACTTTATTTTTTGGACTTTGACAAAAAGAAAATTCGTTACCTTATAATTCCAAAAGAGGAAGAGACAGCTTGTCTATCAAAGTCTCTATCTACGAATTTGTACAAACTCATTTTGAAGACAGGTAATGTTCACTGGGATACCTGTCTATTTAAATTACTAGAAGTCATAAACGAAAGGCAAGATTAGATTTTTTACAATTGGTACGTTCAAAATATGTTAAAAATGTATATTTATAATTAGCTAAAAGTTTATATTGGGATTTTATTTTCAATTTTCAAATATTTTTTCGGATTTTTATCTCAAATACCTACTTAAAGTGTACTGCAGTGCTTTACTTTTGCTAGTATCTCTAGCCCCACAGTTATTGGGAATATATTCTTTTAAGTTTACATACTTGTGAATAAAATGTATTTTACATATTATTTTTTTCCATAGCTACATTTATTTTGAATTTGTTTTAAGTGAAATAAAAAAAGATGTAGTATCGGTGCATAATTCACCTGTTCACGGGTAAAGCTTCCCACTTGTTATCAAGGATTGATCCCACTTGTTATTAGGGGTCTGAACCCGTAAACCTCAAAACACAACCGACGTAAACTCACTCCAAACATTTTAAAGTTTGATATTTCACAAACTGTGCACTGAATATGAAATATTCTTAACTAAGAAACAGACAATCGGACATGGTGAAACTATAAAAGTTCCTCATTAACACTAAATAATAGTGGCATATGTACAGCAAAAAGCATTTCTTCACTGTACAAACATAATCGTTATAAGTGTCTAATTTACCGCTATTATAAATACCTAAGTGTATTGGTATTTGTGGCAAAATTTCGGGTGTATTCTACGCAGTATAAATCGGGTTGGCAGTGAAGCATCGTGACCGCTAACCGGAAGGTAGAACGATCGGGCCGAGGAGTAGTTAGTTGTCTAACGGGACCTTAATAGCCGCCGCAACGGTAGAACCACAAGGATACTTTTGCTTTCCAGTTATAATAGCCTTTTAGACCAAAACTTGAAACATCATATTAAAAGTGTGAGAAAAATAATGTTTTCATACAAATGCGATGGTGGCGTCGCCAAAGTATGCCCGAAAGTATTGGTAACGCACTAAAACTAGTTTTGCACAGAAACACTACAACTTCTTAGCTCCACATACATGTAAAAAATATAACAAAATCTGTAAAATAAGTAATTAAATAACAATGCAGCGGCCATCCACATGTGGTTAATTCATTGACATTTACATACACAAATACACGTTCATACGCACCCGTACACGCACACACATGTACACACACACAAACTTGTTTATTTTTTTTATTCTATTTCTTTTATTTGTGTGTAAAAGCATATAAGTATTTTATCAGAAAATCTAACTTTCACAGTGCAAGCTCTGCTTAGTTTGAAACTAGGTGGCGTTGTGTTGATGTGTGGCGATGGTGTCCGAAATATTGTTATTATTATTCATGTCCTTTTCTTATTGTATTGTTTCATAGCTATGACATTGGGATCTTTATATTACGTGCGGAAGACATACTTTGACTTTATAAGCGTTTCAGTAGTAGTCTCCGAAATGTATAATTTACCTATGTAATCTATCTACCACTTCCTTCTCTTAATTTCGGATAAAACTTTTTTGTTCTTCAAATCCAAAAGCAAATTAAATTATAAAAACAATTATGCTTATGTAATACATAAAACCTGCAGTTGTATGTGTTTAGAGGAACTTATTTTGTTTCTAACCAAATAATAAGCTAGTAAAAGTTGATGAGAAACGAATCTTTTACATTTGTATAGCTCCCTTTTGGGGTACTTACCCCTGTTCCCTTATCCCTGTTCCCTGTAATATACTTATATTAAGAAGTTTGGGGAACAATACAAATAAGAACATAACTCTACGTCTATATTACCTCTCATGTATATTGATGAACCTAATGTTTTAGTTTACAAATACATTTTCTAACCATAAAAGCTCCTTCTTCAGAAGTTAGCATCACTTTAATCGCAAATAAACAGTGTTAACACCGTCTACTATTGGGCCTAAAAATAGAAGTTCAAATCAAGCCCTATACTAAAAAAGCACCAATTTCATTCATCGAAGACACGTCCGAGGCTAAATTTCTCTTGGCATGCCTTTCTCTCGCACACATACAAAGATGGATGGTCACACAGATATACTAAGAGCTGTGAAAGGCTTGCCCATTACCTGATCAGCACTGACATCTACTCCGTATTCTTAATATAGAAGTTTGTTTAAGCGTAGCCAGAATATTTATAACAAATTAATATGCAACTTTATCTACATAAAAATTTAAGTAAATTAGGGTAGGTACATTTTTAGATTTAAAATTAATTATTTCAACTCAATTATTAAATGTAACATCTAAAAGTACAGCATGAATTGTCCTGCATTATCAATGTTCTTATATTTTCATATCTTCAAATCAATTTTAAAAGTAAATTGTTCGACAATAGCTAGATGCGTCACACCGTAGTGCTTCATACTAAGAGCAAAATTTAATTTTAAGGTATATATATTACGGAGGATCGGTGTCTGGGTTGTTTCTAAAAATAATTGAATGGTTGTTGTTGGGTTGGTTAGTTGGTTACATGTTGTTAGGTTAAGTGTTGTATTTTCTTGTTGAGTTTAGATATTACGATTCTTCAGGTTATTTCTTAACACTAACTATGTAAACCTCAATTCTTGGAATCTAATTTAAATTAATCAAATTATTTTTATAAAGTGACGTAGTTTGTAGTAGCTCCGATATGGCCATCCTAACAGGCGGTACGCGCTCTGCACCGGCCTTGTTGATTCTCGTTATGTTTCTTCTCATAGTCTGTAAATAGGGGTTGCTTTATGTTAGTTACATAAACACAATCAGTGCTGCTTATGTAGGTTCTCGAAGATTTATAGAAAGGTTCTCGGCGGTACTCTTGAAGGGTCCCGTGGGTTTCTCTTCTTTCCATGGTTGCATCATATAGGCTGATCTTGACCAATTGTTGTCAGATTAACTAAACATATTAATATTTAAGGCAGCAGGTGCAGAGGTCTGCAGAGCAGATTTGCACCCCTTGAGTCTCTTCAGGAAACTATTACAATATTGTTGCTTGAATCCGATTGTGAGTGCGCTAATGATATCCACGTTTATAATGCATGCAATGCATCCAAAACATAGTTGAATAAACCTTTTAAAATAATTTAAAGAGAGACACGTTTGAAAAAATAACAAAATTAAATGTTAGAAAAATTTGGCATATTGCAGTAGGAACCTCTATCTATTTGAGAAAAACATTAGGGGCGCAGCCGTAAGATTATTTTCACGGTGCAAAAAGTACTCAAAAAGACTCCGTAATTTTGGAGGGCTCAAAGACCGGTAACGCTCTTGTGACTCGTTATTTGCAAGTGTTCATGGGCGGCGGTAGTTGCTTACCTGCAAGTGATCTGTCTATTCGTTTGCCCTTCTATGACATCTCATTGTCGAAATCTACAAACTGTCTACATAATTTTAATTCTATATGACAGTGCCATTAGCAACTTTCGCAGTTTACACATTATTTTGTCAATTTTGTACGAATACTTACACACACATATTATAATTGAAAAATAATAAGGTAACCAGTGGATTTTGTACGTAAATACCATAAGTCACAGAAGAACGTGTTTCCTTCAATATGTCACAAAATAAATGAGATCCCATAAAAAGGGTAACATGTAAAAACAAGCAAAGTACCTACTAAACAGACCTTAGAATGATTTCTTAATCTTAACATAATTGTCATTGATGCCAATATAAAATCTTGACACTAGTAAACTGGTCATTACGGTCAGAAAATTTAAATTAAAAATTAATGTTGCCAAAATTTATGTCAACAGTTTATTGAGCAACTGCGAAATAGTATCACTAGTCTCGGCGACGTCGCTTCACTCGACGTGAGCGGAGGCACGTTAGCGCACGCGTCGAAGAAAGTCCGATACCGGAACACTCATGGCTTTCTATCAACCGAGACATTTCGAATGGAATTTATAAACTTAATTTCTGTTCGAAACTAGAATCTTAACAGTTTTAAAGAATATTTGTTTAAAAAGACACAAGTATAAGAATTATAATTCAAGTGACAAGTGATACCTGTGAATTTTGACGGTGGAATACAAATTGATTGTTTGTGTTATTTTCATAAAAAATAGTGCCATTGG